AAACCAGAGGCTTAAATCATTTAAACCAGAGGTGTAAATCGTTTAAACAAGAGGTTTAAATCATTTAAACAAGAGGTTTAAATCATTTAGACGAGAGGTTTACATCATTTCAACAAGAGGGTTAAATCATTTAAACCAGAGGTTTAAATCAGTTTAAACAGGAGGTTTAAATCATGTTAAACTAGAGGTTTAAATCATTTAAACCCAGAGGCTTAAATCATTAAACCAGAAGTTTAAATCATTTAAACCAGAGGCTTAAATCATTTAAACCAGAGGTTTAAATCATTTAAACCAGAGGCTTAAATCATTTAAACCAGAGGTTTAAATCATTTAAACCAGAGCAGAGGCTTAAATCATTTAAACCAGAGCAGAGGCTTAAATCATTTAAACCAGAGCACAGGCTTAAATTATTTAAAACAGAGCAGAGGTTGAAATCACTTAAAACAGAGCAGAGGTTTAAATCATTTAAAACAGAGCAGAGGTTTAAATCATTTAAAACAGAGCAGATGCTTAAATCATTTAAAACAGAGCAGAGGTTTAAATCACTTAAAACAGAGCAGAGGTTTAAATCACTTAAAACAGAGCAGAGGTTTAAATCATTTAAAACAGAGCAGAGGTTTTAATAATTTAAACCAGAGGTTCAAACAGAGGTTTAAGTCATTTAAACCAGAGGTTAAGGAGTTTCAAAAGGCAACATGAAGGGTTCTAAATTCATTTGGGCTTTATTGATAGCATTAAGGTTGAAATTGTATCTCAGGGGTTACACATGATGCAATTTGACAGGGGCCTCTGAAGTACATTTAAGATATAAAAAAAAGGGAACTCAAAGGAATCCATGGATGAAAAGTGATTTTTCAGCCTAAATTGGAAGTGGTTTGTATATACAAAGTGTGACCTCAGATGTGAAAAAATCATCTTTGGCTTTTAGTTCATCCATCTGAGTACTGGTGAGAGTAGATAGGAAAGATTCATCATACACATCTCTGGGTAACCCCACTGGAATTCTTAGGTTAGGTGAATCTGGTGTCACATTAGATGGTTTCCGAGTTGCTGGAGGAGGGCCTGGTCGCCTGGTTTCATCTTTCTTTGAGAGTGCTTCTGAGATTTGATCTATGTGCTCAACCAGGGCAGTAGCACTTTTGCTTCGGAAGGGAAGAGAAATCCGAGTTCTGGACTTTCTATCTTGATCATCGGATTCGTCGTCAGAGCATATGTAATCGTTATCGAACAAGAATAAGGCTGCATTGAGTTGCTTAACAATTTGGCAAGTATCTTTTCGCCTAGCTTGGAGCTTCCATAAGCAGCATAAACATCAATTACTGGTGATCTTGGTTTCAATGTGTAATATTTGAAAGGCACTTACAGCTTGACGGCGATGGTAGCGACGATCAATTTGTTGGTTCTTCAAGATGGACCCTGGATGATTTTCCTCGCGATTTCTTGTTTTTATACGATGTTTCAACTTGGCGGTAAAGATTTCGAGTGCCACTGGAGGAGCTGGTATTTTTAATTGATGAGCATGAACAAGTGGAAAACATTGTTGTTCGCACGCAGTAATGAATGTGTCAACACAGAATGCTGCCATACGCAGATTCCACAACTCGTGGTTATTGTCAGATTGGTCAGCCCAAGAGAAGGTGGCTACAGCGTATTGCCTGGCTCGGTTTTGACAATGTGCGTGTAAATTGAAAGGTGTCGGCAGATTTCTTGATATAATATCTAAGTAGGGCGTTTTTTTTTCGTCTTCCTCAACGAAACCGATTCCCTTGACCTCCTCTGGCGAAAGAATTTTTGGGGAATTTGCAGGAAGACTGCTGTATTCATCAAGGGTGTAAGAATTCCCTTGAAGAAGGTTGTCGATTGGTTTTAGCGGTTTCAAAGACCTCAGTTCTTCTGTTGTAGGTCGAGGAAGACTAGGCGATTTCTTCTGGTTCTGTTGAGCAAGGTAGTAGATGAAAGACTGCATGGCTTGTCCCTTTATACAAAATAAAAAGATTGAGGAAAAGCAATCAACCAATTGTACATCCAAAAATAGGTTCAAGGCAATGAAGTAAGTACCAATAATTCCAACTCCTGTTTCTCTGAGTCTGTCAGCGGTTTCACAGGGTTTCTATTTTCTCTTTTGTTGAATTTGATGCGTCCAGAACGGGGGGTTGATATCTTTTCTCTGGGTCTTGCCGATGGTTCAGGCGTATTTAGTCGAGGTGTATTTAGCCGGTGTGTAGATTCGGAGGCAAAATTTGTTGAGGGATCAGTTGTGCCAAGTTGGATTGGTGTAGTCGAGGTTTGAGAAGACCTTTGATGAGTTGAATCTTCAGATTCCATGGTGTGATCTTCGTCCAAGGCAATAGCTGATGGAGTTGCTACTTCGGCTTCTTTCGATACATTTTGACTGTTTTCAGGAGATGGCAAGTTGATTGAGGGAATGATGTCTGAAGGGTTGCTGGCAATATTTTGAATTACGGGGGTGAAATGTGAATCTGAGTTGAGAAGAGATTCAGTGACTGCCAATAACCTTTCAATTCTAGTAGTAAGGTCGGTCATAGTGTTGGTATCAACACCAAATTGAGAAAGTGTATTTGATACAATTGTCTTGACCCCCGTGTCCTCGAGTATATCATGAGCATCCACCTGTGTGGAATGCTTGTAATTCTCCTTCAATGAGAAAAGATAAAATCAGATGTGAGCACTGAGATGAAACGGCACAAAATAATTCATGGATAATTTACCTTCAATTCATCATAATTTTTCCTCAGTTCTTCAAAATTTTCACTTATTTTCATTTTCTCATTCATCATCAATTCTCGCATATTCTTAATTTTAGCCTGTTGAAGAACAGATTGTGGATTAAGGCAAGTCAGTTTTTGGAAATAAGAAGCAACAAATCCAAATATTTGAAAAAGAAAACAGAACAAAGTATCAAGATCACCTCGTTGTTTTTGAGAGCTTGATCCATAGTTGAATCCAGTTGTTTCATTGAAGCCTCAAGAGTTTTGAATTCTTCCTGTTTTATTTTCACATGAATGTCAGTCAATAGGATCCACTGTATCGGGAATATCACTAACCTTCAAGCTTGATAGCTCATTGAAACACCCTGTACTTATATTTTGAGAAAAATCGTCCAGCCTGGATTCCAATGGATTGCATTTATCTTCAATCTCTTTCTTGGTGGCCATTGACGTTAGCTGAGATTGAAGACGGGTTTCAAAGTCTTTGGAGTAGTTATTGAGATTCAAAGAAACTTTATCAGTAAAAGATTTCTCAAAGAGAGTAAACCCAGCCAGAAGTTCATCCTCGATTTTTTTCCTCATCTCATCTTGTAATTGTAAATATTTTTCAGAAACTAGCACAGCGGTGATAGATTGAATTTCTTTTTCAAGCGAAGTTTCCAAGGTCTGCCGAAAAGACACAAGCTCAGTGGTAATTGAGGGCGAAATTTTTGAGATGATGAAATTGTAATCAACTTTCATAAGCGCATTCTGCTGGTTTATGGATTGTTTTAAGTGGACCACCGAGTGATTTTTAATTTCGTCAAGTTGTTGCTTGAGGAAATTCTCCAATTGGGCCTTGAAGTTTTGATGGTCACTTCTACTTTTGGAACTGGGGACTAATGTAGCCTGTTCGGAAAGGATTGGTAATGGTAAGAGCTAACCCAACAAGCATTTAAATACAACTCAACTTTCTTACATTTGGATACTTTTGCATCAATTGATTGGTGGAGACAAGCTGTCCATCGTGAGGAGGTGGGGCTTGAAGTGGAACTATAGCACCATCATTTGCCTAAAGAAATCATTGTTAGTCAGTTCTGATGCAATGATAGAATAAAAAATTACCATGAACTCACACTAGCAGAATTGTTTGGTTCAAAGCAAGCGGTAATAGTATCAAGCTTTTTTGAGATTGTATCAATCAATGCCTAAAATAATTGGTGTAAGATTTTTCTGCTACAATTTAACACTAGTAAATCTTACATACTCGGTTTTCCATTATTTGTTGTTCGAGCGCTTGGTTTTTATTTCTGAGGTCGGAAAAGCGTCCTTCGTATTGATCATATGATGTTTCGCAACTCTCCTATCATTTTGATCTCAAACTTAGCAGGTGATCTGAAAGGAAAGAAGGGGTGATTTTGAACGAACTTTTAGGCGGGAAATAGAGTTCTTTGGAGCTTTTTTAGTCAGCCTTTGAGCAAAAGAAATGAAAAAGAAAATTTATTCACAATCCCCTCTTCTATCATAAGAAATCTCTTCTCAGTCAAGCATTGGAATTCCCGTAACTCTGTTTTCAGAGGACTGGATTTTCCTCTGTTTTGGGCTCCCTGTACAACCAAAACAAAAAAATGATTCAGCAAAGAAGGTTCCAAACTTTCTTGTTGTTTACTTACCTGCTGTGATGGAAGTGTGGTCCTCTGTGAGTTACGAGTTGGTCTTCCAGAAACCTTTGATGTTTCCCCAGCCATGGTTGATTTGGTCAGAAGATTGAGATGGATTTGGGAATTTTTGATCAATTTTACTATAAAGTGAAAGAGATTGGGCTTGGTGAGCAGGCCAGGCATGGCGCGAGCCTCCGGGGGGACCGTGGGGACCCCTCACAGAGATAAAGCTCGAGTTGTGCTTTGCGCAGGGCACCAGAGGCAGGACTCACTAGGAAAGGAATGCATTGTGCATATGCATCAAGTGCCCAAGTCTCCCATTCGCCTGGGACACCACTACTACAAGCTGGTAGACAATGGACTTGTCAGATTCACCTTCACTCCTCACCCTGCAAGTAACAACCACCTCACTCCTCATCCTGCAGGAATTGCCTACTACCTCTCCTCCAGACAGTAATTCTGATGATGAACTTACTGGGTTTATTAAACCTGCTGGGTTTAGGTACTTTGAACCCTGGTTTAAAGTATTTAAACCTGCTGGGTTTAGGTACTTTGAACCCTGGTTTAAAGTATTTAAACCTGCTGGGTTTAGGTACTTTGAACCCTGGTTTAAAGTATTTAAACCTGCTGGGTTTAGGTACTTTGAACCCTGGTTTAAAGTATTTAAACCTGCTGGGTTTAGGTACTTTGAACCCTGGTTTAAAGTATTTAAACCTGCTGGGTTTAGGTACTTTGAACCCTGGTTTAAAGTATTTAAACCTGCTGGGTTTAGGTACTTTGAACCCTGGTTTAAAGTATTTAAACCTGCTGGGTTTAGGTACTTTGAACCCTGGTTTAAAGTATTTAAACCTGCTGGGTTTAGGTACTTTGAACCCTGGTTTAAAGTATTTAAACCTGCTGGGTTTAGGTACTTTGAACCCTGGTTTAAAGTACTTAAACCTGCTGGGTTTAGGTAAATAAACCCTGGGGTTCAAATTAAACCATGATTTAAGGTCTGTTTTATACACTTTAAACCATGTTTTAGCTTCATACACTTTAAACCATGGTTTAAGGTCTGGTTTATACACTTTAAATCATGGTTTAAGGTCTGTTGAAACAGTTTTACACACTTGCAACCCTGGACCAATGTGTGTAAGTTTTTCATACCAGGTTTAGACACCTTAAATTAGTGTTTGACTGGTTTCCTGCTTTAAATTATGCTAAACCAGGTATACACACCTTAAACCAGTGCTTACAAAAAATAGCCAAAATCTTTCAAGAAAATCACCCAAATCTGCCATGTTTTTTTTCAAGAAATTGCATCCTTCATAAACTGTTATGATTTAACCTCAGATTATTCCAAAGAAAAAAAAAACAAGAAAGAAAAGTATCTAAACTTTGGAAAGATCTATCAATACAATAGTTGGTTTCTTAATTCCAAAAGAATTTGGAGGGGCTTTCCACCAAGAAATATGGCCACTAATATCTGATAATCTGATGATGTCCACAACATATTTGTAAGTTTTTTTGTCACTATGCGCATACATGACCTTTGCCTTCACCAGTGGAAAGTCATGAAAGGGGTCTTTTTTTCCATCAGCAACACCAAGAGGCAGAAAGCGTAGGACTTCAAGCCACATTTCAGTAGTGAGACTACCTTTTTTTTCGAGGTCATACCTCATCGTAAACATTTTATCAATAATACCGTAACTCAGCCCATTATCTGAGGCTTGAGCCATGACGGTAGTATGATATCGAGCTGTTTCCAATATGAGTTGATCTAGTACAGTATTTTCTGTTCTGATATTCGAAATTGTTAAGGAAATAAGCCCAAGGAGGTATGATCACTTCCTCGGGGGACACTTTTCTTGTGCGCAACGATTTGGCTTGATGTATTGGATATTCCTCCACACGAAGACGTTCGATAAGCCTTGATAGTGAGCCGGGGGGAAGCTTTTCTAATTCATCTCCTCGCCATATAAGTTCGATAGAATTTTCAGGATTGAGCATCGCCTGGGAATGAGTTCCAGAACTGTTTGTATTCCTCAAAGTATTGAGCAATGGCTTTGCATATTCGTCAGGAAGTGTTTCGCATAATTGGGGGAGAGCTGCCCTCAGGTTTGAAGACATAACATACTTCTTGAGGCATGTAAGATCCATGGCTCCTGAATAACCCCTCATACATGTCAGCTCTTGAGTCTCCCAATGGTCTATTATTCAAAGTCAAATGTTTATGGGCTCACGTAATTGTCTGTTTGAATTTGCAGCTCGTAGAGCACCATTAAGTCGCTCATATGCCCAACCAGTCCACCAAGGGGCAGATCCAAAGCGGGCAATGCACTCTGGGATATGGATGGCAAAATGATGATTGGGTCTAGCCTTGAAAGTGGGGAACAACCTCGAAACTTCCGCTAGATATTTTTGAATATGTCCTCGCAACCGATTGGCATCTGATGTGTGAACTTGCCTCTGGCGGATGATGTTGACGGAACTGACTAAATGAAGGAAATTGTGTAGAATTTCCAAAGATCCCGAACAATCCTTGGATGTGCAAATGATTCCCAGTGTTGGCACCAAAATGATGGTAAAGAGGACAATCCACTCATCGGCTTTGAGCTTCCCCCCACAAACTTGACCCACTGTTCGGGGAACTCTTCCAACCCAAGAAGGTAAATAAATGCCATCGATTACTGAACGGAGCAATTCCATGTTGTTGGAGTCTCTAAGTAGCATGCTAGGGTGACCAATAGCATCTTCATCCTCATCGCTGTCCTCAACCTCGCTGTTTTCCTCCCCTTCATCACCAGACTCGTAATCGTTAGAATCCACTCCGTCTGGACAATAATCCATATCAGAAGCCGAATCTGGAATCACATCCGCATTTTCAATTTCATGAGTGTCCCTCGTCAACTCCGCACAAGTAGTAAGGTCCTCAAGATATTCGGAGGACAAGATATCCGCAAGTTCAATTTGAAGCTCCTCTAAGTCAAGGTCGTGGTTATAATCTTCGGATGGTTGTGGGCTGGAAGGTTTCGACTGTGCCTTCTTGGAAAATTTCTTTTCTTGAGGTAGATGCAATCCAAGGAGTGATTGACCGTGATATTTGAGTATTCCCAGAAAAATGTTGTGCATGGGCTCAACAACAACATGACTGACAGGGAGGAGATATGTGTCAGCCACAGAGCACATTTCACAGTACGTGAAATGTACCTATTAACTGCAATAATAATAATTAATTGAATACTGGAAAATAGTATACATTGTTGTTAAAATAATAAATAAATAAATATGTATTTACATTTAATCTTAATTCATAATTTATATTTAATAATTCTATAATTAACTGTGAAATCCCCTTGAGTATTGTACATATAATATCACTAGGATTTCACAGAAATATCATTAGAATAAAGTATTAAAACAATGTTTATTCTTATACATTATGTACATATTTTATAAGCCATAAATAATTACATATGTATAAAGAATCAGCTAGTAGAAGCGTGAAATGGATGAGGAATAAGCTATATACATTTATCTGAAGCTTACCCATCCTTGATCACATCATCAGGGCATCAGATTGCATCATAACCCTCTTGGATGGCGTCATCAGGACCCTTTTGTGCTCTAATTCAAAGCTTGCATAATTCAAAGCAGCCTACACGGGAAAGGAGCCCAAATTCTACATGCAAGACTGAATTATGCATGAAGGACATGCATTTCTCATGATCACAAGCTTGCATAAGCAGAGTTACACGTATGCAAACAAATCTACAATTGCACAGCCCCTGCACAGTAAATGTAGCCCTTTAAATTACGTGAGAAATAGGCCACAAAACTCAATTATGCATGTATGATCTCATGTCCTAGGACCTTCCACCCATGCATAGCACTGCACAGCTACAGCTCCCATCCTTACACGAAACTGTAGAGCTGCTAAGAAGCTCCCTAGTGCCCTGAGGGCCTCTCATCTTCCCCTGAGCCTCCTGTAGAATATTTAAGGAGCCCTGATTCCTACCTTTTCCCCCCAGGAAATTCTAGTAGCATCAAACCAACACTTGTACCGTGTTTATTAGTGATTAAAACCACCAATAACCTTACAAACCAGCTACCTTAGACCTAAATAGATTTACTTTGCTCAGATTCAAGGCATTTCTACTTATCTCTATTGCATAAAGAATTATCCCCCAGGTTAAACAATTCTGGTCCTTAAGTGTTGATACACTTATTAATCTAGATTGTTGTTAAAAGACTAATCCCAAGTGAGTTGAAGAAGTCCTCACCTTGGAAGCCTATTAATCCATACAAGAGGATTGATCTGGATGCCCAATTAAATAATTGGATGAGTCAGCAGTAGAAGTACCATTCCTCACTGACTCCTCCCTGTTTCTTTTACAGGTTGAGGGATTTAACCACGAATAAACCTTCCCACTTACCATACTTGTTAACACTCAGAGCACAACCCTTACAGGTTAGTAGCATAGAGGCTGACAATTGGGGGTCTGGCCTCATTTTACTCGTGATTTTTCACCCATTACCATTAAAAAATCATACTTACTAACACCATTCTATTTTATTCATCATGGCCTGCTAAAAGGTAAATGCAGGATATCAATATTTATTTCAAACATATAGATCCTTCCCTCCTGGCTGAAACCAGAAGATATTACACGGACCATCCTGAAAACATTACTGTAGAACAAGAGCTTAGAAAAGTAGTTAAAAGAGTTTATAGAGATACTTACTGGATTTGTACCACTACTACTACTAGTGCAGTTCTATCCAGTGCTATTTACGCGCCAGACAACACTGTTATCTCTTACACAGACTATTTAGAAGAAGTAAAATCTGTCATATCTGAATACTACAGAAACCCTTCCTCTTTTAATCTCCCTCCTGACGTACCCCCTTTTAACTTCCTAGAGTCTGAATTAATAGAAGATACTACTACATACACTACTATTCCTGATTTTGGCTTTGGCAACCCGCACTACGCTTTAGACTTATCAGACTGAATTTTTTTACTTCTTTACATATCTCTTATTACTTCTCACCTCAATAGCGTAAAAAATCTCTAAAAACACCAAAAATACCTGTTTTTCAACGCTACACAATTGTTTCACTCTATTTTTTCGAAATTTTTTCTGACCAAAAAATCTTATTTGTCTTACAAAACAATATTCTGAATTAAAATCTGAAACTTTTTTCCTTCTTCTTACCTTTTTTGTGGATTCAGGACGCTTTTTCGCCAGCGATCTCCCTGAAGGAGAGGACTTACGAAAATTCTGAGTAGACCATTAGACGCGCAAGCATCGATTTACTCTACTAGATTTTTTCCCAAGACTCGAAACCTTACGGTTCATTCAGCGTCTGTGCGCAAGACCTTGAAAAAGGACAGCCTGACAGCTTTTGTACGGCAGGTGTGTGGTAACACCGATTACAGTTTGTACACGCATACATACATAAATAAAGTTGTATTACCACTCATACATAGTTTAAATCCTATTCACCCGGATTTTCACAGCCCTGTCGATCGTATTACCACCGCGCGAGCTTGTTTGAGTGTATACCGCAGCCCGCACTGCACCTCTGACCAGTTTTTCGACCATCGACCTTCCAGAAACTTCAAGAGAGTGTAGCTCACTCAATTTTTGAGCTATCAACAAGGTTAGACCACCATTTTAACCGCCTGAACCTAGCGAATCCAGCGCACACACTCACATCACGCGATTCTTAACCCTTCACAGTCTTATACTGTACTTTGTTTTTATACTCTATCTACATATTTGAAAAAACTCTAAAAACATATAAAAAATTATAAAAAACATATAAAACACATAAAAAGTAAGAAAAACATTAAATCAAAGAAAACAAATAGTGATTGAATTGATTTGACTAACAGAACACATCAGAAATATTTTCTTCTCATATTTTTTTCAGTATCAGAATAAAAACAACTCAAAACCAATTATAAAAATCTGTTAAACTATAAACAGTAAGATAAAAAATTGTTTTTTGACTGACTTATACTCAGTTTTTATCAAGAAAAAATTCTAATTACACTTTCATACATATTCTTTTAGTGGCAAACAACTCTTCCACCACTACTCCAGCTGTCTCCAACCTTGGAATCCAAGACCAATTCACCCAAATCCGTGAAAATCAAGCCCCCTCTGAACTTGAAACCAATCAAGGAGACAACATTAGCATATCTGACAAATCCTCAGGTATATTACATTTATTTTTACATTTTAATTAAAACCTATTTTACTTTTATTATTTTTGATCTAACATTAAAAATGGCTCCCTTATCCGTTAGACCTCGAGGTTATAATGGAAGATTCAGAGAGACCACCTCAGACAGAGGATTTCCACAGGCGTCAGTTATTCCCAAAAATAAAAAGAAAAATAGTAAAACTCAATCAATTAATGATACATCTTCTGTTAACAGTTCCACAGGCGGAGAAATTCGAAAGATACTATTACAGGATGAAGGAAAACAAAGCCTGGCTCAAGGACGTGAGGAACAGGACCAGCTACAGAGCCATAGTAGCCCATTTAAGATACTGCCAGGAGGACTTCCTTGCTATGGTCCAACTCCAAGGAGAGGAATTAGCTCTCAGGAGGACCAAAGGCTGGGATCCCAGAACTTTGACGGCAGGAATGTTCTTTCAACCCCCAGAACCAGCTCCCACCAGAAGAGATGTGAATCCTTACCCCCCAAGAGTTCCCAGAAACAGAAATTCCCGTCACCCCAGGAACATAAACAGAAACAGAGAATGGAGAACTCAGATCTACCAGGAGATGACCAGAATGGCGCGCTCTCTCCAAGGATATTATCAACACCTGGAACAAGGGAAAATAGCCCATCAACAGAGAAGACAGATGGATATGCACCCAGAAGACAGATTCCCATTCTGAATACTCCTAGAATTAGTACATCTAGAACTCAATCTCTTAACATTGATACACAAAATTCTCAACTTAACCTAGCTTTTGATATCTACATTAAAAATATTAACAAAATTAGTAAAAAATGCGTAGAAATGAATCAAAAAGTTTATGATGAAATTAAAATTTTGTGCCAGAAAATTGAGAATGGAGTCAATACTATGTCTGATGAAGAAGACTCTACATTATCACAAATTTTACAAACAATTGAGAAATTATACTGTGAGCCCCTTAATTTAGAAACAATTGTGCCACAAATCAGTAATGCAGTTAAGACAGATCTCAAAACATCCTTGGAAAATCTTGAGACTTCCATCACGGAAAAGGAAACTGATTTAAGTGCAATAAGGAGGCACATGTCTGTATTAGAGGTAAAAATGGATAAAAATATCAAAGAAAGTATAGCTAGGATTGATTCTCAACACACTACATATGAGAGCACCATCAATAGGTTAGAAACTGAAATTAATCATCTTATTAATATGCAAAGAAAGTCAGATGAGAATGTAATTAAACTTACTAGAACTATTGAAGAACATATGAGAAAAACTCCTCCACCAGAAATTATTTTACCTCATACAGCATTACAAGCTACCACTAGGAATACTCATCAACAATTGGCCACAACATTAAGTGACACTACCAACAGTCCAAATAATCACCAACCAGAGAGTCAACCAAGTACCAATATCAGAAGAACTCAATCAGTAACCACGGACAGAGATACACCTACCAATGTAGAAAATAATACTGAAGATAAATCTCTTGCTAAGTTAATTCTTTCCAGCCTACCTAAGCCAGGAGATTGGCCAACATTCTCAGGAAGTGGAGAATATGACCATTTTAAATTCATGGATTGGATTGATAATCTGAAAGAAGATACTTCAGCACCAGATCAATTAATCTGTTCTAGATTAACTTCTATATTAACAGGAGTAGCTAACACGTGGTATACTAATAGAAAGAAAGAAGTTGGAATTGGAAAGTCATGGGACTTTTGGAAAGAAGAAATCATCAAAAAATTCAGTACCCCAGAATGGAAAAGGAAAGTAAAAATTGCCTTCAGAAGGGATAAATTTGATGTCACAGGAGATAAAGAACCTTGTGAATGGGTAACTACTCAAGTTAATAGATTGAGAGCCATAGAAAGGGATATTTCCATAGAAGACATTAATGATAAA